GTGCCTTATACCGCTCAATTGTCCCTTCAGCATGATGTTTAATCTTGTAAACCCATTTTGACCCAATTGCCTTCTTTCCAGGTGGTAAATCTTCAATAGTCCAAGTATCATTCTCCTCAAGAGAACCAATTTCAGAACCCATGGCATTGGTCCACACTTTACTCTTCACCGCTTGTTTAAATGATTTTGGCTCAACACCATCTGTGATTGCAACCAAATATGCACGATGTGTAGCGGAGAAACGAGAGTTAGTGACATATTTTTGGATAGGATACAAAGAGGAGGAAGTACCAATCATTTGGATCTGAGCCGAGTTAGTCTTATAATCCTGAAATCGAGCAGGAGGATGACGTGATCGTTGACTTCGGCGAAGTTCAACCAGCGGCGGCTGAATTTCATCGTGAGAAACAGCAGGAGAGGACGCCGGTGTCGGAACAGAAGTCGACGTCGGAGAAGAAGAAGACGACGATGGTGATGATGACGGCGTCGTGTCGGAATCGGCAGAGGAAGAAGATGGAGTTGTCTCTCTCGATGGGCTGTTAGAGAAATGATTTTGGTCATTCTCTAGTAACGGGCCTATTGGAGTTGTTGGGCTTGGCAAAGGTGCAACAACTGATGGACCAAAAATCTCTTCCTCTAATGGGCCTGGAGCAAAAGGAGCCCAACTAGATTCTGCTTCTTCTTCTCTTACGTTTCCTGCAACAGAGTCACGAATGGCTGCAAAAGGAAACTCGGTTTCAGAAAAGACCACGTCTCGTGACACAAAAAACTCTTGTTTTTCAAGGTCATACAATCGCCATGCCTTTTTACCATATGGATACCCAACAAAGACGCACTTCCGACCTCTAGGAGCAAACTTATCTCCCTTATGAGCTTGATTGTGTGCATAGCACAAACTGCCAAAAACTTTGATATGATCATAACTGGGAGCAATTCCATACAATTTCTCATAAGGTGTAGTACCATTCAAGACTGAGCTCGGAGTGCGATTTATTAGGTAGCCTGCTGTGAGAATGCATTCTCCCCAAAAACGAATCGGCAAGCTTGACTGAAAACGCAAAGCTCTCGCGATGTTGAGAATGTGGCGGTGCTTTCGTTCTACTCGGCCATTCTGTTGTGGTGTGCCTACACAGGAGGTTTCATGGATGATTCCTTGAGACTGAAAATAACCACGCATACTAGTAAACTCCGTACCATTGTCACTACGCACTCGTTGCACTTGTTTATTGAATTGACGAGCAGCCATAACAATCAAAGCTTGTAAATTCGCAGAAGTTTCAGTCTTGTCAGTTTGGAGATAAATCCACACACTTCTTGAATAGTCATCAACGACGGTTAAAAAATAACGTGCACCGGAAGAAGAAGTAGTGCGATAAGGTCCCCATAAATCACAGTGAATGAGTTCAAAAACAGATGTTGTTTTATTATCACCTATCGGAAAACTAGAACGTGTTTGTTTAGCACGTAAGCATACATCACACGCCTTATTGGAAAGTTGTGAATCAACAAAAACAGAAACATTCGGTAGTAAGCCAACTACTTTTGCAGAAGGATGACCCATTCTATGATGCCACAAATCATAAGCTTTAGGATCCTTAGTGCGCACCATCGCAGCTAACTCCGTTCTACAAAAGCGAAAAGTTCCACAATCACGTTTCCCCGCACCAATCATCATCCTCGAAACGCGGTCCTGAATAACAAGGAATTGGTCAGCCAATTGAACCACACAACAGTTTTCATCCATTAACTGCCCAACGGATATAAGATCAGACTGCAACTCCTCAACATAGAAAACAGACTTCAAAACCAGATTAGACCCCAACACAACAGTTCCCTCTTGACGAGAGATGCGTTCTCGACCATCCGCTAAAACAACTAGAACGGGATCCATTGGTCTCACATTAGTGAGAATATGAAAAGTGCCTGTCAAATGATGAGAAGCCCCTGTGTCTAAAATCCAGGAAGGAGAAGAGAACTTACCAGAGAGTTTTTCATTGTTTGAGCCAGCACCACCGTTCAGAAGCTTCTTAAGATTTTCCCATTCGATTTCATTCAGCTTCATCACACCATCACGATCCTTGTCTGTGATGACATAGTTTGCACGCTCCTGGCTTGGTTGATGGGGAACATGAACAACATTTGCATAACTCACATTTCGACCTCGTCCGCTAGATGAACCAGACAAGACAGCCCCACGTCCTCGTCCTTGCGATGGTCTGCTCCGTGGACGATCTCCCCACCATTCTGGATAACCAATGACAGCAAAACAACTATCTGACGTGTGTCCTGAACGATTACAATGCTTGCATAGAACCGTCTGATCATCGTTGCGAGCTGAGGAAGAAGCACGTCCCTTTTGATGAACGGCGTAAGCAGTAATGGCAGTAGTATCATCAGTTTTGTAGACATTGTTCTTCAAGTCCTCTTCTTGACGAACAATATTGTAAACCTCTTCAAGAGATTGAATCGGTAGACGAGATACCAATGTCGATCTCACCGTAGCAAACGGCTCATCAAGTCCAGACAAGAAGTCGTGAACTTTGTCTTCTTCACGGTCTCGTTCTTGCAACACAGTCAAGTCGCACTCGCATTTCCCACATTTACAGAGACGCAAAGGTCTGTGATTTGCCATACTGTCCCAAATGCGGTTCAACTTGCCATAGTACGATTCGATCGAAAGACCTTTCTGCTTACAACAAGTCAGCTCTGCCTTGAGTTGTTGAATTCGCGGCCCATTAGTGACAGAGAACCGCTTCTTCAAGTGATCCCAGAGATCTTTGGCAACATCGCGGTGGGAGATATTAGAACGCAATGACGGATCAATCGTCATGCGAATCCATGAGATCAACAAAGCTTGAATTGTTAACCAGTCTTCCAAGTTTGCGGATCCCTCTGCTGGTCGTGGAATAGACCCGTCGAGAAAACCAAACTTTTTCCTTGAGAGCAAAGCAGTTTTCAAACCACACGCCCACTCCTCGTAATTCATCCCCTTCAGCAACGGATGAGATATCACGGCTCCGGGATTGTCGGCAGCAGTCAAGTCGTAAGGAGAGATTGTTCTTCTCACCTCCATGGTCGTCGGGTTCGAGTTCATTGGGTTCGGGTTCGTTGGATTCGGATTCATCGGGTTTGGGAGCATCGGGGTCGAGAATTCAGCCATGGAATTGCAGGAAAAAAAAAAAAATTCAGAGAGTTTGAGTTTCTAGCTCTGATACCATGAACAGATCGATCAAATGTGTCTATTATTGAAGAAATATGTTACATACATATATATCAGAGATCGTATCCCAAGTCATAAATGTTAATATACTCATCAATGTACAAAACAGAGAGTAAAGGAAACAAATAATCTAACCCCAAAACATACGGGATTATGATATGCTAATATAACTCCTCCTCTTGCCACTTTCCATCAAGCACAAGACTCTCTAGCGAGAGCTATCTCGGTCTGAGACCGACCGTGAGGATTAGTTATGTCCGAAACCTAACCGCTTCACGTGGTTATCTTGCTATAAAAGCAAACAGAGGTCTCCCTTCCGTGGTCTCTGCGGTGGCTATAGAGGAGAAGCTAAGAAGAGAGAGGTATTCAGGAGAATCAAAGAGTTTCGTGGAAGAGAGGAGACTCGTGGCGATGAGATTTCACACTAGAGATCAGGCAAAGGAAGGAGAAAAAGAATCTAAATCTCCGGAGGAAGGTCCTGTGGCGAAATGGGACCCGACGGTGGAAGGATACTTACAGTTTCTTGTGGATAGTAAATTGGTTTATGACACGCTTGAAGGGATTATCGAAGAATCCGATTTCCCAACTTGTGAGTTTCTTTTTCATGTCTTATGGATTTTGAAGTATCTTGTTGATTCATTTCAGAAATCAGAAGTTGAAGTCATTTAGATGATATTTTTTTAAAAGTTGTGTTCTAGTTTGATAGTGTTTACTTTAGAGTCTAGTGTGTACGGAATGTTTTGGACCAATCTTCTTGGATCACATGCACACATTTGTTTCTTGAAACAGTCGCAGAGAGATCGTGTAACTTTGTCAATATCTCTGTTTTGGACTTGGTTTACATTCAAAGTCAGACCAGTAGTCTTGGATCATATCATATGCAAACATATAGATTCTTGAAACAATCTGAGTGATCATGGTTCTTTATAATGTATTTTGAACTTGTTTAACGTTTTGTCAAAATCTCTGTCTTGTTATGAGTAGATGCCGTGTTCAAGAAGACGGGATTGGAAAGAGCAGAGAAACTAGGGAAGGATTTGGAGTGGTTCAAGGAACAAGGTTACGAGATTCCAGAGCCAATTGCTCCTGGTAGAACATATTCTGAGTATTTAAAAATTTTAGCAGAGAGGGATCCTGAAGCATTCATTTGTCACTTCTACAACATTTACTTTGCTCATAGCGCCGGTGGCCAAATGATTGGTACAAAGGTAAAGAAAAAAAAATCTTTATGCACTAAACTCACTTGGAAGTTGGAGGAACATAGTTTCTGAAACTTTACAAGTTTTGCAGGTATCTGAGAAGATACTCGATGGTAAAGAACTTGAGTTTTATAAATGGGACGGCCAACTTCCTCAGTTGTTGCAAGAAGTGAGACATAAACTGAGCAATGTTGCAGAGGTATTGAACATATATATGTATATATAACACTATCTATAACAAGAAAGATTCATTCTAATGTGCTGATGTGGATTTTGATATTTGAATGGACAGTGGTGGACAAGAGACGAGAAGAGGCATTGTTTGGAAGAGACTGAGAAATCGTTCAAGTTCTCTGGTGAGATTCTTCGTCTCATATTGTCCTGATCTTATGATTCACAAACTCTTCCAAATATTCAATAAAGCATTCTGCTAGTTTGTGAAAGTTTCAAAATGCTTTTTCTTGATTTTGTGATGTCAAATCAAGAAGGCAAAAGTTTAGGTGGAACAAGTACCATTCGGATTTTTATGAAAAGACATAAAACTGTGTTCCTTTGTATAGTTCTTACTGAAAAAAACTAACTAAAATATAAATGATTATGCCTGTTTTAATTGGGAAATGAGTACAGATGAGTTTCGTTGTTACACACTTAACGAACTTAATAGAAAAATTTATTGTACACTCAAACACCGAAAAGCAAATCTAACCGCAAAGACTTTGATTATATTGGTCGTATTCAATGTTGAAGTTTTACCGTGTTTGGAGAGGAAACAATGGTTCAAGTTCAACATCCGACCACGATGAAGACGACCTTGCGACAACATTGTATTGAGAAGCTGGAGCCGTAACTACAACATTGTTCCTTGATTCTACCCTTACGATATCTTCCACAATTCCTTTGTTTTCTTCTTCCTCTTCTTCGTTTTCGCTAATATGCTCTTGCGTTTGCATATCTCCAGAAGACATACGAATATTGTCAAGCTCCATCAACACTTCTCTCATGCTTGGCCGTTTCCTCCCTTTCAGATTGAGACACTTCCTTGCAACTTTTGCAGCTGCAGTCACTTGGCTCAGCATGCAGTCATCTCTTATTCGAGCATCGATGATATCGAAGAGTTTGTTTTCTTTCATTTTTGTAATAAAATAAGTTGCCAATGTTCTGTTTTCTTGAGACCGAAAGAAAGAAATCGACTTTTCTCCTGTTATCAACTCCGCTAGCACGACCCCAAAGCTGTAGACATCACTTTTTTCTGTAAATTGGCTAGACTGAAAGTACTCTGGATCAACATATCCTACAGTACCTGAAACTACCGTTGTCAAGTGGGTATGATCCACTGTTACCGATCTTGAAGTTCCAAAATCAGATACCTTGGCTCGATATTTCTCATCCAACATAATGTTCGTAGACTTGACGTCTCTGTGATAGATTGGAGAAGATGCAGACGAGTGCAAGTATGAGAGAGCTCCTGCAATATCTATAGCAATGCGGAGACGTACTTTCCAAGTAGCCATAGTGTTATCATCAGAGTCATCATGAAGATGTTCGAAAAGGTTACCATTAGGAACAAATTCGTAGACGAGAACTGGGACCTTTGTCTCAAGGCAACACCCCAAGAGTTTCACGATGTTCCGATGGTTGATCTGTGAAAGAATGACAACCTCGTTGATGAACTCTTCAAGCTTGTCTTCGTCCACGACTTTGGATTTTTTTACAGCTACGATTCTTCCATCGACAAGCATTCCCTTGTAAACAGTACCTTGACCACCCTGACCAAGTATTCTGTTTGAACTGAAGTTTTCAGTAGCTTTCTCCAACTCCCTCGAACTGAAGACTTTTGTCGTCTCGACTTTGCCTTCTGTGGAAGTCAATTGCTGTTGCAACAATAGACCCCCATTACGCTTGAAGAACTTCTTCTTTTGGTTTATCCTCCTTTGCTTTCTAATAATTTTGTATAACCAGTATATTCCACCGACAAAGATCAACGAGCCGAAACTAGTACCAAGCCCTGAAAACTCAAAAAAGAAAGTGAAAACGTTTTAATTTTTTCGTTTGTTTACTTCTTGAATAAGCGGTAATATATATAAAGGTTATCATCATCGTTGACGGAAAAAATTTGTTCATCACCATTGTGAAAGAGCTTTAAATGGAAACACACGCACATAGTTGGGATAAAAATTCCCACGACTTACCTATAGCTAGTGGCCGATGATTTGTGTACCTACATTCATAGCTACCATATGAATTGACACATCTGCCTCCCCGACAATAAAAATGAGCTCCATCATATCCTTCTTGTTGGCATTCATTAATGTCTGTTTTTTTCAATAATAATAATGAGATTATAATCAAAAACAATGATCCTGTAGGCTTAATTTAATAAAAAAAATTGAATGAAAACATAAACTATAAACAGAATTACTAACCTTTACATCCTCCTAAACTGTATGGGTTGCCTCGGAAACCCCTAGTGCATCCGCAACTTGCATAGTTTAGACTAACATTGTAGTCGCATTCACAACTTCTCAGATCACCGTTGCTACGGTAGTAGGTCGGACTGAAGTACTCGTTTACAGTATAGCATCCCAGAGACTCTACATACGAATGATTCGCAGTATAGATAAACCATCCTAACTCAACTGTACTGTATCCTCTAGCATAAGCCCTTTGCGGATCAAGATCACTAGACAAAGAGTATGCCTCGATTGTGAAGAAGGCAACTTTGCAGCCTCTCGTTGTGGTGTTTTCTATTCTAACACCAACGACCTGTGGAATAATATTGCCGTACATGGATGCCGCGCAGAATCTAATACCATTGTAGCTTGTTTCAGTCACAGTGCTTTTTTCATAGCAATCCTCGCTATTGTAGCCATACTCGTTGTGACAAGCGGCTAATGCAAGATAACCTTGAGTAGGCGTATGGGGTTTTATATTGCAGCTTGATTTGCATTGTACTATGCTTGGCTCGACATTCGTCAACGATGCCGTGTTGTCGCAACCAAGCCCAATCAGTGTATTTCTTCTGGTAACGTAAAAAGGGGTACCCGTTAAATTCAAAAGTGATCCAGTTAGCTCTTCTCCGTCGCTTGAGCATCCCATTGAAGTTATTTGGTTTCTAATGCTAACTGACGAGTAATTCCCGGAGATATTGTGTATGTCGTCGTTCCGATTCCAAAGAGAAATGCCCACAACTTCCTTGTTGATTACGGAAAGAAAAGGGACGAGCTTTCCGGAAGTAGAAGAGGTATTACATGTAATTTCATACCACTTCTCCAGATAACAACCCTTTCCCACTCCAAAGGGGTACGGTATCTCGATTCCTCCACAGTGTGTCGTCGGACAAGAAACTGTGAGATCAGAAGAATTTACATTTAAAAAAACTGGCAAAGAGAAGAGAACAATCAAAAGAGAAAAACAATTATAACAAGTCATGTTTTTTATGTTCTGCTCAAAAACAAAAAATAGCAGACGGGTTTTTGTAGGAAGAGAGGTGTAGAGATTTTGTTTACTTGGACATCAGTAAAGTCTTAAGTCTAGGAACGTAAAGGCAGTGTTGAATTTTTCGCTCTCTTGATCAAAAGAGTCAGCAGCGTAAGTCCACACCTCATGTGTTGCTTCACTGCTCTGTTTCAAAATTTTCATACTCGTTTTCCCAATTGACTAAATCAATACTGCCTTTTATGTTTGTAGGCCTGCCTACTCAAACAGTCACTAGCTCCATTATTTTGAAAGAAGAAAAAGAAAATAAGTATTGATTGAAAGACGAAATTTCCAAACCGAATGTTGGAAATTGGTGTAGTTGTAGACTGTTTCTTCGAGTATTTAAAAAATTGGACTATGCTTTTTTGACTTTTTCCAACGTCCAGTTTTCCTCTATTTAACATAGGACCATTACAGCAATTCCATTGGTATTGCTTAATGGTAAGCTTAAGACATTGCCTATATTTATTGGATTATATTTAATGCAAAATCAAGTACTTTTTTAAGTTTTGTTGTCTAAATTAACTCTTTAAGGAAAGAGTAAAAACCACTTATAAATTTATTTTAAAAACTAATGCAAGAAAATAAGTAAGCACCCTCCAACGGTGCTAATCATTGGAGATGGTCTTAAAGCTTGATTATACCACCAACGCTTCCTTAATCCCAAACAACAAAGAGAAGTGACGAGAAACTTTTATAAGAAGTCATATTTATGTTCTGCTCAAAAAAATTGTTCTTTCCTGTATTTTTTTCTTTTGTAATAGCAGATGTGTTTTTTTTTTTTCTTTCTGTTGTTGTTGTAGGAAGAGGTGTATAGATTAGAAAGATTCCGTTCAGTTGGATAGAAATTAAGTCATAAGTTTTCGTCATTCAATTTTGTCATTTCTCAATCAAGTCAAGTAATAAGAGAGTAAAACCACATGTTAGCTTTTCTGCTCATTACTCATTTTTTTTCAATTGACTAAATCAATATTGAAACATTGACTATCCCACCATCCTTTTGAATTTTCTTTCTCCATTATTTCAAGAGCAAAAAAAAATGATAGCTATAGACCATTCTAGACTTCTAGTTTGACCCCAAAAAGAAAAAGAAAAAAAAGCCCAGTTCTTCGAGGTTGTAAATTTTTTATTTTTTCTCTTTGCTTTCTGTGTTTTCATTTTCAACAATACAGCTTCAATCTTCTTTTTCTTCTTTACTTTCTAAAAAAGCACCATATCCTTCAGCTGTTCGCAAGGCGCTAACACTAACACATTCTAATACTCACGAACAAGCCCATAGTAAAAACAGAACCTAATGTGACCGTACTTCATAAACTGAAACTGAGGCTCCATAGACTGAAGCTGAGACTTGGTAAACACAAGCTGACGCAACTTCTTCTCTAAAGACTCCCCTTTCAGATTCAACAAACTTTATGATAATACGCTTCATTAAGTGTATAATACAACCATAGTATTCCTTAACTACAACCAATTATAACCGGGACATAACCGGATCAATGCTTAACCAATTGTATACCGATATCTGATATCCCCCGTAAACAGCCATAAACTGGGCCGGAGCTTAATAATCGTAAGCTCTGTGAGATCCTACTCTACTTTGAAACTCGTTTGTAGTTTTTTCCCAATGGCCTTTATTTAATGAGCTTATATTATCGGTTCATAATAATTTATTATACCTATACTTTGAGATCTAAAGCTTGGGAATAAAGGAAACGAATAAGTTCCTCCCTGAGAAGAAATAAATTGAACCCTTAATTAAATGGGCTTGTAATGTCGTCGGTTTATAATACTTATTTGTTGGAAACCGACTTCATTGGATCGAACAGAGTGGACTTATCATGTAACACACGAGATTACGTATTGAACAAGCTAACTGGCAAAACTCCACTAATGTGGATTTTAATATAATAGGCAGTGGTGGACAAGAGAGGAGAAGATGCATTGTTTGGAAGAGACTGAGAAATCGTTCAAGTTCTCTGGTGAGATTCTTCGTCTCATATTGTCCTGATCTTATGATTCACAAACTCTTCCAAATATTCAATAAAGCATTCTGCTAGTTTGTGAAAGTTTCAAAATGCTTTTTCTTGATTTTGTGATGTCAAATCAAGAAGACAAAAGTTTAGGTGGAACAAGTACCATTCGGATTTTTATGAAAAGACATAAAACTGTGTTCCTTGTATAGCTGTTACTGAAAAACATTAACTAAAATATAAATGATTATGACTGTTTTAATTGGGAAATGAGTACAAATGAGATTCGTTATTACACTTAATAGAAATATTACAAATACTGAAAAGCAAAGACTTGAGACTATATCTGGTCATATTCAAAGTAGAAGTTTTACCGTGTTTGAAGAGGAAACAATGGTTCAACATCTGACCAAGACGAAGACGCGGCTACATTGTACTGAGAAGCTGGAGCTGTAACTACAACATTGTTCCTTGATTTCATTTCTACCCTTATGATATCTTCCACAACTCCTTTGTTTTCTTCTTCCTCTTCCTCGTTTTCACTAATATGCTCTTGCGTTTGCATGTCTCCGGAAGACATACGAATATTGTCAAGCTCCATCGACACTTCTCTCATGCTTGGCCTTTTCCTCCCTTTCAGATTGAGACACTTCCTTGCAACTTTTGCAGCTGCAGTCACTTGACTCAACATGCAGTCATCTCTTATTCGAGCATCAATAATGTCAAAGAGTTTGTTTGTTTTCATTGTTGTAATGAAATAAGTTGCCAATGTTCTGTTTTCTTGAGACCGCAAAAAAGAAACCGCCTGTTATCAACTCCGCTAGCACGACCCCGAAGCTGTAGACATCACTTTTTTCCGTGAATTGGCTAGACTGAAAGTACTCTGGATCCAAATATCCCACCGTACCTGAAACTACCGTTGTCAAGTGGGTATGATCCACTGTTACCGATCTTGAAGTTCCAAAATCAGATACCTTGGCTCGATATTTCTCATCCAACATGATGTTTGTAGACTTGACGTCTCTGTGATAGATTGGAGAAGATGCAGAAGAGTGCAAGTATGAGAGTGCTCCTGCAATATCTATAGCAATGCGGAGACGTACTTTCCAAGTAGCCATAGTGTTATCATCAGAGTCATCATGAAGATGTTCGAAAAGGTTACCATTAGGAACAAATTCGTAGACGAGAACTGGGACCTTTGTCTCAAGGCAACACCCCAAGAGTTTCACGATGTTCCTATGGTTGATCTGTGAAAGAATGACAACCTCGTTGATGAACTCTTCAAGCTTGTCTTCGTCCACGACTTTGGATTTTTTTACAGCTACGATTCTTCCATCGACAAGCATTCCCTTGTAAACAGTACCTTGACCACCCTGACCAAGTATTCTGTTTGAACTGAAGTTTTCAGTAGCTTTCTCCAACTCCTTAGAACTGAATACTTTTGTCTTCTCGACTCTGCCTTCTGTTGAAGTCAATTGTTGTTGCAACAATAGACCCCCATTACGCTTGAAGAACTTTTTCTTTTGGTTTAACTTCCTTTGCTTTTTAATAAATTTGTATAACAAGTATATTCCACCAACAAATATCAATGAGCCGAAACTAGCACCAAGCCCTGAAAATCAAGAAAAAATAGCAAAACCTTTATTTGTTGGTCATCACTGTTGACAAACACAATGTTGGTCATCACTGTTGACAAACACAATGTTGGTCATCACCATTGTAAAAGAGTTTGAAATGGTTGACCACGACTTACCTATAGCAAGTGGGCGATGATTTGTGCACCGATAGTGTCCATACAAATTGACACAGGTGCTTCCGACGTCACAGTAATCATAATCGCATTCATTAACATCTGGGTTTCAAAATATATAGAGATTATAATCAAAGGATGATTAATTTCATAGGTTTACTTTGATCAACATGAACTAAAACTCACAATTACTAACCTTTGCAACCGCCTAAACTGTATGGGTTGCCTCTAAAACCTCTAGCGCATGAGCAGCTTGCATAACTTAGATAAGCATTTTCTTCACATACACAACTTATCATGTAATTCCTTCTATCGGGGTAGGTTACATTCCTGTATTCTTCTACAGTGTAGCATCCCAGAGACTTTACAAACGAATGATTCGCCGTACGGATAGACCATCCTAGCTCAACAGTACTGTATCCTCTAGCGTGAATCCTTTGCGGATCAGGATCACTAGACAAAGATTGTGCCTTGATGGTCAAGAAGGCAACTTTGCAGCCTCTCGTTGTGGTGTTTTCTATTCTAACACCAACAACCTGTTGAATACTACCGACCATGTTTGCCTTGCAGCATCTAATACCATTGCAGCTTGTTTCATCTATAATTTGTCTTCGATTACAATAGTTGGAGAGCCAGTTTTCATTATTGACTACTGCAAGATAATCTTTAGCAGCGGTATGGTTTGAGGCACAGCTAGATTTGCATCCCACAATGATTGGCTCGACATTTGTCAACGATGCCGTGTTGTTGCAACCAACTGCTATCAGTGTATTTCTCGTGCTAACGTAAAAAGGGGTATCCGTCAAATTCAAAAGGGATCGAGTTGGCTCTTCTACGTCGCTTGAGCATCCCTTTGAAGTTATTTGGTTTTTCACGCGAAGTAACCCGTACTCTATGCTATCTTCGTAACCATACGCGTTCTGATTCGGAACAGAGATATTCACAACTTCCTTGTTGATTACGGAAAGAAAAGGGACGGGTTTTCCTGAAGTAGAGATATTACATGTAATTTCGTACCACTTCTCCAGATAACAACCCTTTCCCACTCCAAAAGGGTACGGTATCTCGATTCCTCCACAGTCGTGTTGACATGGAGAGACTGTAGAAAAAAGTAGCAAATAGAGGAGAATCAAAAGAGAAAAGCCATAATAAGAACTCATGTCTGCTCAAGAAAATATGTTCTTTCCTTGTATATTTTGTTCTTTTGTAATAGCAGATGTGTTCTTTGTTCTTGTAGAGGTGTTGTAGAGATTAGAAATTTTCCGTTTACTTGGACATCAATAAAGTCCTAAGTCTTCGTCTTTCAACATTTTAAAGTAGGCCTACAAATATAAAGGCAGTGTTGAATTTTCGCTATCTTAATCAAAACAGTAACTCCACACCTCATGTTTGCTTCACTGCTCAGTTCCGATTGACTAAATCAATACTGCCTTTTATGTTCGTAGGCCTACTCAATCTGTCGCCACAAAAAAAGTATTGATTGAAAGACGAGACTTCACTATATTACCGGAACTCAAACCGGAATCGAACCTAATTTTGAAATTTAGTGTAGTTGTAGACCGTTTCTTCAAGAATCAAAAATTGGACAATACTTATTCCAATGTCCAGTTTTTTTCTAATTAACATCGGCTCGATCATACCACCATAGCTGACATTAATAATTTTCCAGTGTCATGTTTGTGTTCTGTTCAAAAAGTTTTGTTCTTTCCTGTATATTTTTTCCTTTTTGTAATAGCAGCTATGCGTTTATTTTTTCTTAAGAGTCTAAAAGAGGTGTAGAGATTATAAAAAGATTACGTTCACTTGGATTGCAATAAAGTCTTAAGTCTTGGTCTTTCAATTTTGTCATATCTCAATCAAGTCAAGAGAGTAGCTCATAAGTCACAACTCATGTTTGCTTTTCTGCTCATTTACTCATATTTTTCCAATTGACCCAATCAATACTGAAACAATGATGACTATCCCACAATCCTTTTGAATTTTCTTCCTCCATTATTTTAAGAGAAAAAAAAAGTAGAAACTAAAAAGTATTGATATATAGACCATTCTTCGAGGGTTTTAAACTTTTGAAACTGGACCATAGTTTACAAAACCCAGTTTCATTTAGTTAAAATAGGCCCATTAAAACTCTATCAAGCCCAGTTCTAAAACCACTTAACACTTTCAAATTTCCACAATCCTCAAACTCGTATACTCGCAGCTAAAGCGAGTGAACACCAGTCTCTATCTTCTTTGTCAATTGTCAAAATCGGCGATCATCCAAAGTTATCATCTTTCTCCTAAACCCATTTTTCCTCACAGCTTCCTTAATCCCAACAACAACTACTTCTTCACATTCAAGGTTTGATTAACAACAACAACCTTTACTCTCTTTCTCTTTGCTTTCTGTGTTTTCATTTCGAACGAAACAGCTTTAGTCGCCTGCTTCTTCTTCATTTTCACATAAATCTTGCTTTGTTTAGTCAATATACGATCCAAAGTCTGTAACTTTCAATTCAATCCTGCATTCTAAGTCACGGGTAGATCTTAGAAACCTCAATTTCAGAATTCAATACCACAATTTGTCGATAATATTATTCTCAATGTGTTCCCTTGTATGCTGCAGATTCATGGCTACTACACCAATCTTTAATGCCTCTTGTAGCTTTCCTTCGACCAGAGGAATCGATTGTAAGAGCTATGTTGGTCTGAGATCAAATGTGAGTAAAGTGAGTATTGCTTCTTCTCGAATTGCAAGTGGTCAACGTCGTAATCTTGTCATAAGAGCTAGTGAATCCGGTAATGGACACGCTAAGAAGCTTGGAATGAGTGATGCTGAGTGTGAAGCTGCCGTTGCTGCTGGAAATGTTCCTGAGGCACCTCCGGTTCCACCTAAACCCGCTGCTCCGGCTGGTACACCGATAATTCAGCCTCTTGTAAGTATCCTGATCCCTTTATTTCATTGTGAATCTGCTCTAATTGCGTTGTATAGATGATTTTGCTGCTAGCTAAGAACATAATTTGAATCGATGAATCGGTTCTTGATTGATTTTCATATATCTTGATGTAATGAACAATGTGTTTACCTGCAAGGTTGAAACTTTTAAGAGGCATACCATTTATCTCTTCTAATGTAACTTATTGCTCGCAGAATCTAAACCGACGCCCACGTCGTAACCGTGCATCCCCTGTTACAAGAGCTGCCTTTCAGGAAACTGACATCTCCCCTGCAAATTTTGTATACCCACTTTTTATTCATGAAGGTTTGCTAGTTTCTTTTGTATTCTGACTCTAATATCTCTCATTGGGTCTCTATTGTCTTTATGAAACATTATGTGGTTTTGGAGTGTGGCAGGTGAGGAAGATACGCCTATTGGAGCTATGCCAGGTTGCTATAGACTTGGTTGGAGGCATGGTCTTGTACAAGAGGTTTGGCCCTGTGTTTTTGATTTGATTCCTTTATATGTTGCCGCCATATTAACAAGAAAGTGATTATTTTGGTCTTGATTTATTTGCAAAACAGGTTGCAAAGGCTCGAGCTGTTGGTGTGAACAGTATCGTATTGTTTCCCAAAGTCCCTGAAGCTTTGAAGGTCTTTCACACTTCTCTTCTGTTTGTGTACATATGTTCTTGAGTTGTATCTGTAACGCTTTGTTTTGACGTCCATTCTGTAGAATCCAACAGGAGATGAAGCGTACAATGACAATGGTTTGGTGCCTCGAACAATTCGTCTTCTTAAAGACAAATATCCTGATCTTGTAAGATTTGTAGTCCCAGTTTGTTAAATATACCAGGAGATGAAATATGGGGTAATTTGTGATAGTGAAAAATGTTCTTCTCTGTTGCTAGGTTATCTACACTGATGTGGCTTTGGATCCCTACTCGTCTGATGGTCATGATGGGATAGTTAGAGAGGATGGTAAGTATTCCTTCCCAACTTCCATTTGATACATTTTAATTGGAAGTCTGATACATTTTTTATCTTTGTAGGCGTAATAATGAATGATGAAACGGTACACCAGCTGTGTAAGCAAGCTGTTTCTCAGGTAATTCTTTTCGATATCAAAGAGTCAAATTATCTGAATTTTTTCTTATTAATGGGATATGATCTCTCCTTCTTTCTTTCCAGGCCCGAGCTGGTGCGGATGTTGTCAGTCCAAGTGATATGATGGATGGGCGAGTAGGTGCAATCCGCGCAGCTCTTGATGCTGAAGGATTTCAAAACGTCTCCATCATGTCATACACAGCAAAGTAAGAATCATACATTTCTTTTTCCCTCAATAGCTTTTGTAAAGGCATATTCTTGTTTGTTCTGACTAATTGTATGAATCTTCTGCCAACAGGTATGCAAGTTCATTTTACGGTCCTTTCCGTGAAGCCCTGGACTCAAATCCCCGCTTTGGGGACAAGAAAACGTAAATCCCATAAAACCTCGTTGATACTGAATTTGCATTACTTTTTTTTCTAACTCTAGCAGTTGCAAACTGACGTTGTGAACTATAGGTATCAGATGAACCCAGCTAATTACAGAGAGGCCTTGATCGAGGCACGTGAAGACGAGGCTGAAGGAGCAGACATTCTCCTGGTAAGCCCTTTATCATCCTTTAGCAAAACATTTTATAGAGTTTGGTATTAAATTGGAGTGTCTTGTTACAGGTGAAGCCAGGTCTTCCATATTTGGACATTATACGGCTTCTGCGCGACAAATCTCCATTGCCCATTGCTGCATACCAAGTACTTGCCTTATACTCTGCTTCTAAACATATTGAATAACATTCCCTGTCTGAGGTTTTTGTTCATTCAAACTCTCAATGAATTTTTCAGGTTTCTGGAGAGTACTCCATGATCAAAGCAGGGGGAGTCCTGAAGATGATCGATGAAGAGAAGGTGATGATGGAGTCGCTGATGTGCTTACGACGTGCTGGAGCGGACATCATCCTAACATACTTTGCTCTCCAAGCTGCTACTTGTTTATGCGGCGAGAAGCGGTAGAATAGATAGCGAGAGTATGTGTTTTATAACCATTTGAGTATGTATTTTAAATCATTCGAGACGACTGTGATTTTTGCCTTGTTCTACTTCTGATCCAAGTTAGTATGGTGCATATGTGATCGTGTATTGTCTAATATGTATTATGATGCCTGCTATCTTCGATAACATTGCGAATAATCAAAGGCATCACATATTCATATGAAAGTATGAAACCACAAATGAGCTTACAACTTTATTTTGGGAAGTCTTTGGCATTGTATATTCTAATATCGAAATTTTTAATGTGAATGGATTCGTAAACCCTCTTGCGTAGAAGAGCTCCCAAATTTGGCTACAAACTTTGTTAAAATATCTTGTGTTCGTGTCTTCTTTGACCATAACCAAAAAATAAAAAGACATTAGCCGAAAAAATAACATGTTCACACTGGAAGCAATAAGGTCAAAGTCAAAGATTAAGGCCTGGACCGAGCACCAAAAATATCCAATGGGCCTTTATTTAGCTAAGCAGTTACGTATGCTATACTTAGGGTTTCTTTTTGTCGTACCTATATATTCTCATCACAGCGTCCCCATTTGTAATTTCTAGGGTTTTGCAATACCATCATCAACACCGAACGGATCCAACACGATGGGGCGAAGTAAGTCGATCTTCTCTTCTCACTCGCAATCTCAATTCGACTTCGTTTCATTCGATTCGTAGTTAGGAGAATTCGGAAATGTTTTGAGATTTTAATTTTGTCGACCTACGGTATAGTGTATGAATCGCCATTGATAGAACTCAAATTTGTAAAATCTTTTTTTCTGAGTCTGTTCATTCGAAATCTGTAGGCTTTGGATTAGTTTGATGTTTTGATTTTGTCAATTTACGATTTTATTTGTGTGAACGCCATTGATTGAACAATCCGATGTTAAAATGTATAGGACCTGCGAGATGTTACCGTCAGATTAAGGGAAAGCCATACCCGAAATCGAGATACTGTCGTGGAGTTCCAGATCCAAAAATCAGGATTTATGATGTTGGTATGAAGAGGAAAGGAGTTGATGAGTTCCCATTTTGTGTTCATTTGGTTTCATGGGAGAAAGAGAATGTGTCAAGTGAAGCTCTTGAGGCTGCTCGTATTGCTTGTAACAAGTACATGGTTAAGTCTGCTGGTAAAGATGCGTTCCATCTCAGGATCAGGGTTCACCCTTTCCATGTTTTGCGAATCAACAAGATGCTTTCGTGTGCTGGAGCTGATAGGCTTCAGACAGGAATGAGAGGTGCTTTTGGTAAAGCTCTTGGTACTTGCGCTAGAGTTGCGATTGGACAGGTTCTTTTGTCTGTGAGGTGTAAGGATAACCATGGAGTTCATGCTCAGGAAGCACTTCGTAGAGCTAAGTTTAAGTTCCCTGGTCGTCAAAAGATCATTGTTAGCAGGAAATGGTATGTGTTGTTCAAACTCCTTTCCCAGTTTCTTTCTCTGTTTTGATGTTTGAGCATATAGCTAATCTGATATTTGATGTATCTCAGGGGATTCACCAAATTCAACCGTGCTGAGTACACTAAGCTGAGAGCTATGAAGAGGATTGTTCCTGATGGTGTCAATGCTAAGGTTAGTACAACTTTCAAACAATTTGAGCTTTTTGTAATGCTTATAAGGGGATGTTGATTTGATTCTAAATTGTATTGTTTTTTTTGTTGTTGCAGTTTCTATCAAACCATGGGCCATTGGCTAACCGTCAACCTGGAAGTGCATTCATATCAGCTACAAGCGAATAAGAAAAAAGATGATGATGATTTGTGGTTGTACAAGAACCGTTAATTTAGTTTCTGCGGCATTCTATTTCTCTTTTGTTGCAACAGTTGTAAGACATGGATCCTCTTATGATTCCATTTTTCTTGAACAATTGTTTCAGCCTGTGTTTCGTTTCTTTCTTTTCTTTTTCTTATATACTCCCAATTCGTTTTGTCTATCTCTATTTATTCAAAATCGATTTCTCAGTATATTTATAACAAATTGAGGCTTCCGCAACATAAAAATGTAATATGGAAACCCATTATAATGTAATATGGGCCCGAAAAAATAATATGTTCACACTGGAAGCGATAAGGTCAAAGTCACAGATTAAGGCCTGGATCGAGCACCAAAAATATCCAATTGGGCCTTTATTTAGCTAAGCAGTTAATAGGGTTTTGCAAAACCATCATCAACACCGAACGGATCCAACACGATGGGGCGAAGTAAGTCGATCTTCTCTTCTCACTCACAATCTCAATTCGAATTCGTTTCCTTCGATTCGTAGTTAGGAGAATTCGGAAATGAAAACAAAGTAAAGAGAAAGAGTTCTGTTATTTAGATGCTGAACTTTTTGTATTGCAATTAAAAATGTCATATACCCAATTTCTTAAAAAGTATGTTGAGGAATCTGCTTGAGCTTTCTGAGATACTTCGGATTACAAAGAAAAAATAAAAAATAAAAAAAAAGGCATGCTGATAAACTAAGGGAACGTGGAAACCCATTAAAATGTAATATGGGCTACGATGGGCCTGACCTGAGAGAGGTGAATTTAGTTTTGACTTTTCAGCTGCTTTTCACATACTCGATTGATTCGAGGAGCGAATCCAAAATTTGCAAGTTTTGTTGACCATGAGTACAGGTGTGTTTTCTTCTCTTCTCGTCTTCTCACATGCTTCTTCTTTCTTGTTTCTGATTTCTCTGGAATTGAAGATGTGATGATTATATTAGGTTTGCCTTTTGACTTGGAAAAAAAATTCTGGGTTTTCTTAGGTATCTGTCATTACTAGATTTATAAGATATATTATCTCTTTGAGCATTTTATGTAATCGGTTGTTCTATTAGTTAATAAAACCCTAAACCCTAAATCAAAGGTGTAGAGTTTCCCCCAAAACTATCATATCTTCTACTGCCTTTTGGGTTTTGATCAGTATAAATCCCACATAGACTGTTCAATTGAAGTTTCATTTTTCACAAAATGAAAAATCCACCCTTATTGCTTTATAAGAGAGGATTAAGCAGATTATAATGATCAATGTTACTACTTCCTAAAGCTCGATGTGAATCGTTACCTCTTGCGTCTGTTGATTTGTTTGGTATAATATAGGTGGAGCATTTGGAGGAAACAGAGGATTAAGACCAATACCACCAGAAAAGGGCATTTTCCCTTTGGATCACTTGCACGAATGTGATGTGGTATGATTTCTTCTTCTTCATCTTTGCCTTTTGGTGTATATGTTTTTGGTTATGTTTTAGTCTATTCACTTTTAGCATTTTTTCTTGGTTTTGTTTTCAGGAGAAGAAAGAATATCTTGGCTGTCTTAAAACTTCAGCTCACAAATCTGAGCAATGTAGACATCTCTCTAAGAAGTATCTCGAGTGTCGAATGGCTAAGTAAGTCACCATCATAGTTCTCTCTCTCTAGTGAGTTTCATGTTTTTACTTTGAATCACATCAGAAAAAGGAGGAAACTTTTGATGGTATTGAGATCATGATAAACTGATTTTGACTATTGCAGGAACTTGATGGCAAAGCAGGATATGGCTGAACTTGGATTCAGTGGTGTTAAAGAACTGGATTCCACTGAAGATAAGAATAAAGAGAGTATCCAACATTGAAGGTGGTGTGCCTCGTTTTGTAGAATTTTGGATTGAGATAGTATTTTTAAGATTTGAGGTCTTAAAACCCCAACCACTCTCAAAGTATATGCTTTACCAGCTTTACAATACGTACTTCATATGTTTTCCTGTGTGTGAATTAAAGTATCATTATACAAAGCATTAAACAGAAGCAAAATAGGATTTATAATTAGTCTCTTTCTTTAGACCAAGTTTTTTTGGGTTTGTTTGTCTTTGATTTTGATTAACTTAAAGAACAACTAGTTATATATGGTTGATGCTATTCTATAAATATATATGCGTCATGTGTTTGAAATTTAGTCTTGATTTCAATTCAAAGTCCGGCGTCGTATTCATGTTGAATGCTTCAATGGCTTATCGAATAAAATGACCACCATATGAAAGCCAAAGTCAAATAGATCTTTTCCTCCTTTGATTAAGATCTTTAAACTAAGATATATATAAACCCTTTAATTTAAGATCTTTAAACTGTATGCAAGTTTTCAAAATCGTCGCCTTCTATTAAGTTTGACTGTTTAGATTGTTTTCAAGAAGATATATTATCTCACTAAGAAGATAAAAACCAATAACTTAAATACACTATTCTTTTCCTTTTTGTATAATTTTTTTTTTTAAACGTTCAGTTACATATAAACCTTTTAAGAATGAAAATTATTATTTCAAACTTTATTCTTTTCTAGAATAATTTCAGTCTAGTTTCATTGCTATTACTTGTCTTTCTTATACATATACGTCATTTTGTTACTACTAAAAATCATCTTGACAAACTTCATCTTCTTGTGTCACCAATTCTATTTTTGAAGAAGAAGAAACAAAGCAAATGTAGAATACTTGAAGGTGGCGGATATAATGCGATCGTTTTATGTTGTCAATTTTCAATATAGCTACAAAATTAAACAAAGACAATAAAATGATTAGTGACGTGTTTCAATAATGTTTTTTGAGTTCAACTATGTAATCAAGCAGAGATTAATCTCTCTGTCTCATATCATTATTGCCACGATCGCCATTGTCCTAAATTCCAAATACCCCCACTTGATTTTTTTTTTGGTTACAACGCAACCGTAGCCAAATGAAAAGGACTTACATATATTATATAGTTGTTAATGCCAAGTACATATATGTACATACGAACATTACAGTTTCTATATATAAAAACGTAATAGGTATGATTTGAGATGGTAGCTCATTTGATTGAAAGTTTGAAACTAAAGATTTTTTCCGGACATCTTAGGTTTTCCCAAGTTTAAATCTGAAGATAGTTCTTGCTCCACAACATTTGTGGTCTTTAGTGTGCAAACTTACCAATCTGTACACACAAAAGAACAAAATTATAACCTTGGTACTTATGCATGTGTAGAACAATATTGTTTTTATATATCAACACAATATTGTTTAAAAATATGTTGAAGTAATAATAGAGTTGTGGTTTCGAATAACAAATTGTGATTATGTTATGAAATAAACTGAAAACAATAATGTAGTCCAGATATTATTTCGAATTTGTCCAGTACCCGACAAACACGACAAATTAATAAATGATTTAAACTCATTAGATCTGTTCAATGGGATAACTATTGAATTATCGATGTCAGGAACTGGTGGAACATAGCGTCAGTGGAAAATCGCGTAAGTGGACTGTGGACCGACAACTTCATATTTTCATAATTTAAAAGAGGATACATTTATTTAACAAACCAGAAAAAAAAAAAAAAAGAGGATGCAGTAGTTTTAATTTTTTCATTTATTACCCAACGTAAGAAAATACATATTGAGATATATTAATATTTTAAGAAAAAAAGGAGAAAAACATATATAGTTGCTAAATCATAATGCTTTCATATATAAAATATACATGCAACTAGACAAGTATGCAACCATAATATGTAGACGATCGTGATACGAGGGATACTGGCGTATGATGAACCATGAGCATTAAAACCACGAGGCACACACTCTCTCTTTGATCCTTTGGTGTAGATTATCAGATAGTCTTACTGTAATTTGGTTGTTAACATTACAATTAGATACTAAAAAACTCTAAAGAACAAAAATTAGAAAATAGGATATCTATATATAGTATTACAACTTTTCTCTATTCTCAAACTTGTCTAGAACCTCCATTAACGTAGGCATGGCTATATTGTCCTCCACTAAGGAAGAGACCAATGCATGATGGACCAAGCTTTTAGATTAATAAATCAACTATAGCAACAATTTTCTAGCTTGATTTTGTTGATTTTTTTGTTCTATATATGGTTAACTCTTTTGCCCTTTATCCAATAGTAAAGCAAAATTCATTTCCGATAAATATGCTTCTCTGGGTACTATTCAGACGCAAAAGCCCAAAACACGTGAGACGTGACCTACTGACGTACGCCAAATATTAGATGTGGCGTTAAATATACATTTATCAACAAATCTAAAGTACGTAAATCTGTAGATGTGGAACTTTTGGAAATGTATAGAACTATTATTTATAGAATTTCATAAATTTTTGAGATATTTAATTACACAAATTTTAATATTTTAAACGTAATAAAGTATACACGAGAATACTTCAGCGTAGTCTAGCTCTTACCTAAGTCCTAATACTAATAACGAGTGTGTAAAATGACCGGCGATGCAATATGTATCATGGGACAATAGGGATGGGTAGGATTGAACAAACTATATACATCTTGTTCGTTTATCGTTATATTCCATTTGATACGATTATATTATATAATATATATGATATTGATATTATAAATTTTGAGTATTCGAGATTTCAGAGATGGATATCGTCATATTGACAAAATAATGATGAGTACAGATTCGTAGGTATGGCACCGTATGGCCGTATAGATACGGATATTTTGAGAGAGAAAGAAAAAAAAATCCACTATGTAACATGAAATATGTATAATAAATGTTTGATGCTAACCCTTTTTCTTTATCAAAGTATTTATACAAACATCTTAACTTAAAACATATTTATAAATAACTCTCATTTTAAGTTTTTGTATAAATGAAAAAAAAAAATAATGCATAGTTTATTAGTTGAATGGTTTTTGAGTATTTATATTAGAGATTCACATATAACCGTTTGTAACTTGTAAGAAAGGTAGATGCGTTATAAACACGTAATTTGCAAAGTATGAACATAGGTGCGCAATTAGATTTTTTTTTTAATTATATCTTAACAAGAATAGAAGTTTAAATTTGCTGACAAAGAAAAGTTTAAATCTGATTTTACTTTAGAAATATTTTTGTAGAAATTTCGATGAAGACTTCTTGCAAGATGTGAAACACAATGGTCCGGGTTGGGACCAGTGAAACCCACTTGTATTAACTTTATTTATATTTAGATATGTTCATTGAACTGTAGTGGTAGGATTGAAATGTCTTTTAATAACGTAACAAACAATTTAAAGATTAAGAAAAAAACAACAAAATAGTATCATTATCATTAGTCCCACTCACTAGAAATTAATCAAACCAATATAAATCATATAGTATCTAAACAAATAAAAAGAGGACACTTGTCAATTCACATGGAAAAAATAACAAAAACAACCAACAATGATAAAGAATTTTCTATTAAAGATCTTTTTTTTTTAACTTCATCATCATCATAATTTGGTCTTTTACTTTTCCTTTTTTTACCCATCCTCTTTTTCTTGTTTTACCCTAGTTTAGCCTTGTCTACATGAACAGTTCAGACTGTAGCAACGTGTAATAATTAGCTGCTTCATCCTCAAGCTCCCAAAGCCCAACACCAAACCCATCTAATAAACTAAACCCATTAACGTAATCTTGATTAGTAGTCTCACTGCTCTTAATCATCTCATCATAATTACTCTCTCCACCAGTTTCAGTGTTAGGGATCCCGAGTTCGTCGTCTGAAGCTTCAAGAAGATGCTTCATCACCTTCTCTTTGTCTTCTTCGTACTCATCTTCTTTCGAAGTGCAAGAAGACGAAGATGAGGAGGAGCAGGAAGAAGAGAGAGAAGGGTGGTTCTCTTCGAAAACGGCAGCGTTTTGCTCTTCCGTTGAGATTTCTTGCTGAAGTGTTGTGATTAGGGAAGTTATGTCATTGTCGGCTTCATCGTCTAGGAGACATTGAACTTGGTTGTGCGAGGAAGAAGATGAACAAGGCTTTGGTCTTTTCGTTTCTTCTTGGGTTATGATGTTTTCTTGTTCTTGCTCATCTCTTTGGCGCTTCAATGGTGATGATGATACAGTTGTTGATTCAGCCATGTTTGGACAAGAAGAGAGAGAGATAGACAATGGTGTTGAGAGGTTTTGTTTAACTTTTTAAATCGTAAGAGAGAGAGAGAGAGAGAATCGTTGAGGTGATGAGAGAGGGGAGGAGACTAAAATGTTTATATAGAGGAAGGTTGTGGTCAAAATGTGTTTTTTTATATTTAAATAAAAATAATAACGTGATTAAGTGTCAAAATGAAATAATTAATACTAGAAGCAATTTGTTGGTTCGTGCATCTCAGGAGAGAGACATGTGAATGCTTTTTCCTTTTTCGCATAACCCGGAGTTATATATAATAATAATACATGGTCTATACAATTATTTTAAATACATACATGGTCTACATGGTCTATACAATTATTTTGAGTCATCTCGGCGACAAAGATGAATACTATAATACGAAGATTCAAAATATAATTATTTAGTTCTAATATTAAAGTAGTTTTTAGATCTTAGGCATGTTGTACTTATGATAATCTTATAGCTTTGACCGGTAACATTCTACTTGATGACACCATCTCATCTTCGCTTATGTAGTAATATAATAATTTTTAGTGAGACGGTAAAAAAAAAATGTATTATCTTGTTTTCATCGTATGTACCATTATTGTAGTTACTATTGTCTTCCATCAATATTTTTCTTACTACAAAAAAAGAAAAGAAAATATCGTTTTTCTGTCACTAATATTATATAACTCACAAAATCTCTACAAGAAAACTAAGTTTATTTTCTGTAGATATTGTTCAGAACAAAATAAAAATAAATTATGAAGTAGAAATTTCCGACAAACATAATAAAAGTTCATAAATAAAAAGTACTTGGTGAGAAAATTTGTTCAGTGGGACTTGTAAAATGTAAATGCAGTGGCCTAACATTTTTGTCATGTAACATTATACTGATGTTTAGAGGGAAAATGATAAAGGAAGATCCTCTTTGATTGATTGCAATTGTTTTTTATATTTTGTAAGAGAGACAAAAGAGAAAACAAAAAAAGTAATAAGTAGTTGTTGTCATTGAGATTTGGTAAATATATATGATGTGCTTTTGTATCTAACCGTTGGATTCGCATTCGAGAAGGAGCTTGTAAATTACGAGGGATGTATCGAACGGTCGTGGTTTCACGTCTGGTGGATTGCACATGGAAAGTGACAGCCCCTCTCATTGATTCTTATCGTTTAAAGTGGACGAGGACGACGACGATGTGAATTAACCACCGCGTAAACCATTGTCGTGTCTTAAACGTTGGGATGGTTGTATCAGTTTCTAACCATGATTTTTTGTATGTATTTATTATTTACTAAACGTGTTTAAAATGGTTAGTTGTAATATGATATTTAGGATTATAACTATTCTAGATTTCGACATGTCAAAAGTCATATAATGCTATTAATAATTGTTAAGAAAAAGTTCCACTTCTGCAAAATTGTTGTTTTTTTATAGCTATTAAAGATGTCTAAAGTTCAATATTTTGTAGATGTGGAACATGTTTTGTAGTTTAAAGAACCCACTAAACGAAACTTCTAAGTAACCATCCATAAAAGCTATTGAACTAAACTTTTTTGGTTATTTCTTTGAAATGTATAGAAGCATTAAAAATGATAAAAGTAAGTAAGCTTCGAAATTTCTTTGTAAAAGCTAGTGTAGTGAACTAGTCATAATAATTGATTTTAACTTTTATCAGTCATTAATCTTGATTAATGAAATGCAGTTTAAATGATATCTAGATTTGCTTCAAAACGACAATCACATATTGACCTAATAATATTTAGTAGAGTAATATTTTGTTCTTGTAAATACAAATTAAATTAGAATACTGATAATTATTTGTATGTTTGCAAAAAGATAAAAATATACTGCTATTCACTAGTCACGTCTATGTAAAAGACAAAGAACCAGTGTGTGTACTTGGTGAACAGTTGTAATATAATTAAGTTAAACTACATTTTTCCCCCAAAGTAACTTACCAATTTGGTCACCAACATGTAAAACCCCAAACCATACGATATCTATCCACTTAGTACCAAAACTGTTAATAACTTTAGTTACCTCTATAATCAATTAACAAGAGAAAAAATTACGTCTATAAAGAAGGTACAAATGTCAAAAATAATAAAGAAGGTACGCATCTTTCTATCAACAAGTCTATGAAACTTGTGTTTTCTCAACGTCGGTAAGCTTTTTTCTTTTCTTTTTTCCAATTTTTGGGTAAGAAATAGTACAAATCGAAAGTTATTATACTAGTTTAAATATATATACTAAAAGTAGGAAGCAAACAAAATATGCATAATAATATCAATTTTCTTGGTACAAATGATCAATTCAATATTTAACGTCAATTCCGAATTAGAAATTTTATCAAAAAAAAGATGGAACATGTTCTTAAAAAAAAATTGAAAAGTACAGAGACTTATATAAAAAAACATCCACGAGCTTATAAAATATACTATTAAAATTTCGGCTTAATTAAACCGACTTGAACCATAATTATTCTAAAAAACAGATGAGAAAAAAAAAACTAAAAAGCAAAATACAGTTATAAAGAGACTGGAATATATAAAAATAAAAATAGCAAAATAACAAAAATAAAAAAAAAAGGAAAGAAAAAGAGAGGTGACTGGTGAGATGATGAATACAACTACATGGTTCGAGGTAGGGTTACGCAAGTGGGTTTTTGTTTATACACTTCTCCTTCTTCTTCGTGTCTTTACTTTTTTTCTTTTCTTTGTCCTTTCACTTTACTTTATTTATCCTTCCTTACCCACTTTTTTCTACACTTCATCTCGGTTAAGAGACAAATCCATAACTAGTGCGGTTGAATTTGTAGTTGTTGAAATGAAACAACCACGACATAGAATATGACATCAAGAACAGAGGATAGTTTTGGGAAATTTTGGTGACTTTATAATCCGTATTGTACCTGACTAGATTAGTCACTAATTTTCTTGGCTATTCGTTTGTAACGTATGGAAATGTAAAAGTGATTTCCAACGAGTGAAACTACTAGACAATTTCTTGATATTAATACCAAGACAACTAAGGGTTTTATCATCAAGCGAGATGACAACTAGCAATTAGTATCTTAGAAAGAGTAGGTACAAATTTTGTTTTTGAGAAATGTAATGGTGGTCCAAAGAGGATGAATTGGTTATATGTTTGGGGAAGAAGAAGGAAGAAGTGGGGACTTCTTCTCTCGTAGCCTTTCTGGAATAGCACACACACATATACACTGACTGTTACTTGCCATCCCTCTCGATATGTCAACTTGTCCATTGTTATTAAAAACTCTCTCTACTCCCTTTTTTCTATGTTTTCTATTGCATTTTTTTCATTTTATTTTCCCATACTTCGGATTTTAAAATATTTAGATTAGGATCCGTGTAAAAATTGATAGCAAATAACTACGTACAAATTCAAATCCTCTTAAAAAAAATTAGAAATTAGTATACGGATATATGAATTCGTATCCAAAGCTGTAAATAATAAACTAATTTTGAATTACAAAAGATTCCAGAAAGAAAGAAAAAAAAAACTAAGTCACAAAAATATATTCAAATTCGATTCTTGAATTTTTGAACATATTTATCAGAGATAGTTTCAACAATACCACCTTTTTATATCTAAGAAATAGGTTATATAGTTTATTTATCATTTACTATATTAATATATGACTCCTATATACACATATATCTAAATTATATAAGACAATGTAATAATGATGATTTAAATCAAAATAGCTGAATTAATCTTAGACATGGATCAAGATCCAAAACGTCTGAAAATATCATATTCATAGAACCGACCCAGATCAGATCTCGCATCTCATCTTTGCTGCAGTCCCCATATATTTAAGGTTTTTTGTTCTTCTTCTACGAAAGATATGCATCGATCTTGAAGGGTTCTCTAGTCATTTCAAAACACGTAGACACAACAATGCATGTACACGTACATGTGTGTTTACCGTATACGTGTTGTGTGTACGCATCTCTCACTTATCGGTTTCGAGAGGCGAATATTAAATGTTTTTTTTTGGTGTTTCCATAATAATAATAATAATAATAATAATAAGAAAGGAGGGGAGTTGGTTTGTTCATCCATCGGCATAAAAATGAATGGACATGTGCCCTTCTTCATAATTCTATCCGTTATCTTATTATATCAAAACGAATATATAAAAAAGAAAACACATATTTAATGAATAGCAGAAAATAATCATGTGACATTATTATTATGACACATGATTATTATGTTAACCCATTTTTTTTGTCGAATTATGTTAACTCATTTATGCCGACGAACTCACAAACTGAATTATATTATTTTTGTACTACTATAATACTATGAAACATACGATTAACTTAATTATTATTATTTCAGATTTCAGAGTACGATATATTTAAAAGTCAAGATGTTGATCTTGCAATAAGATATTTCGATAAATAATCTCAATACGAAAATAACTGTCAAACTCGATTATTTGTTCAGCTGATTTTTATCATAATCGATTTTTTTTTTTTGTGTCATCTTATCATAATCGAATTAATGTACTGACTTTACATAATATGAAATGAAATATCGTGTATATCGAGAAAAGAAAATGAAACAGTAAAATAAGTGCATTTTGCTGTAAAAAGCCTGATCTGTCATGATGATGACTCGGTTTCTTCAATACACTTATTTTATTTTATTTTTGAGGGTCCTTTATTTTGTAGTTTATTTTGCGAACAAAAGAAGTAACGTATCGATACAAGCAATAAATATAATTAAAGTTACTAATAAAAGAAAATTAAAGTGGTGTTAAAAGATGTCTCCCGTGAGAATTAATTAAAGTTAAAAACCAAAGAGTGAGGTTTCATGCATGCTCGCTCATGATTCGTCAGACCTAATTAGGATCTCATTCACGTGTTAAGTTATATAATGTTTTCGCATTATCGCAAACCTAACGCTTTAACAAGCAATTTTAATTTTATCTACATAATGGTCAATAGTATGTTGTTAATTCTTTATATATTTCTGCTGGTTAAATTAGAGAATGGATCTGGATCGGTTTAACTAGGTTGACGACAAGATAAAAATATATTTGAAAACTTATCTCTAGGTTTTAATGTTTGTGCACTTACTATTATTCTATATGTTAATTGAGTTTTCCCATATTAATGATAGATTATGAGATAGACCCATATCAGGTTAAACTAAGGAAAATAATTCCAATGTAAAGATACATGGCTTTAGAGTTTAGTATTTCATTATTTCTAGTACCAAGCAAATTGAGATATCAAAAACATAAAGAACATATAAATTTCTAATGAATCTATACATATCCATGAATGTAATTTTGGACATGCACCCTATTAAACAATTATATATATTTTCTCCTTATCTTTCGTATTATGTTCGTAATTCTTAAAGGGTCTCTCCCTGATTAAAATGGTCTAGGAGATAGTGCTGCACAGTTATGATATATTAATACCATATTTAGCGGAAAGCTTTAAATAAACAATATGAGTTCGTCATTATGCATCCACCGCCGATTGTCGAATGCTTGCTCATCAAACAAATAAACATCCTCCTCTTTTGGCTAGTGTATTATTACGGATATACGTACGTACATACAGTACATATACGTATGTGTGTGTATACTGTATTCATACTACAAGTTATTATTACATGAAAGGATCTGAACAGTTAGAAGACAACAAATCTTATGATGACATCAAGGTCACCAAATTAAGTGCAACAACAAATTAACACCAAGTAGTTTATATATATATATATATATATATATATATATATATATATATATATATTTTTGAACATATATATATATAATTCTCATCAATCAGCTAGGCTTAATTTAATTAGATCATATTTAGATTTAATTCAGTGAACTATGCATGGGTTTTCCGGGTTTGGCGCATATATAGTTTGAATAACGGAATAAATCAAAAGACTAAAAAAACAATGATTATTTAAAATCTTTTTTAAGTAGAGACTTGAAAACTTGTGTTAACATATTTATTCATTTAATGAAAAAAAAAGAAAGACAATTGTACACAAAACAATGAGTTCGCCTCAATTGCTTATTCTCTACGTTTTAAGATTTATCAATACATCTGAATTCACCTGAAATCACAGCAAATTAGCTTAGGGGTAGAGTATTAGGTTACCGATTCTGAACCTCAGTGGCTGTCGGTGTTGTGCCACAATCACGGTTACGTTTTCTACATGTCAAGGAGTTTTGGTTTTTTTTTTTGTCTCTTTACGTATATGTACGCCATATACATGATTTATACGTCCTTTAGCATATGTATATTTGTATTTAATTCTGATTTCTGTACCGGAAAAAATAAAGAGAAGACATTTGGTACAATTATATATTAGATTTAGATCGATCGGTACGTGAGGGAGGGAAAGAAAAAGTAACACATCCACCACGTGCAAGAGGTTTAGTTTGCAGTATCCACCTACCTAACTCTAACCTCTTCCATCTCATTTTTGTATCTTACAAGATTTTTGAAGCTAATGATTTTTTATTCTCTGACGACAGACAAAGGTAACTATATAATTCACGCTTCATACTCAATACATAGTGACGATGAAAGGTTCCCAAACAAAAGACAGCTTACATATTCACCCTAAGCATTTCTAGTCAACTTTACCAAAGCCCACACCAATTAAAGATAAGATATACGTAGCAAGGTGATAAGGTTATCTATAATCAGCACAACAACAAAAAAAAATCCATCATAAAGATGAGTTTACCAATCATATATAACTAATAATACATTTAACCATTCAACTTCTAACTTTTCCTTGTATATATTTCTTCGTGTTTGTTTTAATTTAACCGTTTTCTCCATAGTCGCTAAATTGTTTTTTATATCTTATTTAATTAGATCATCGATAGACCCATATGTCTTATGAGAGGTAACTCATATTTTTTCAAAAATCTTATATTCAACATTAATTACAAAAAGTATCATTTTGAAATTAAGATGCCTTTAGACATACCAGCCTGAAAATTCAAGCTTATTATTCGACTTTTAACAACAAAAATATCAACCTTGTAAGATTGGCACATCATGTTTCTCGGTCTAAATTTGATTTATTTTTTCAGACCATTAACTGCAATAGAAAATATCTAGAACGAAAGGCTTTAATGCTTACGCTGATCTATTCAGAATAACAGAAAAATCAAACAACTTGAGATTTAGAAACAAAGGTGTTTTGTTGTTGCTGTCTCAACCACTTAAGCAAAACTCCACACTATTTTCATTTGGTTTTGGATTTTTGTGCTGTCCAGAGTAACAAAGACTTCCCAACGTATGATAAGGATTCAAATACATTTAGTTTGAATAGTTTCTAGAGAAGGTTTTCAAATAAGTCAGGAATAGAACGTCACAATGCATTAAATTATAAACGTCAACATATATGGACTAAAGCTAAACACCTAAACAGTCATACGTGACTCTTATTTTTTCCTTTGCCACAACGGCAAACTGAATAAGTAAACATTAATTTAAAGAAACGGTTATATATATTTATATATTATGAAACCATCCATCACATAAAATCATTTGCTACGAAACCATAACTTATAACATTATGGTTTGTAATAGTGTTGTCTCCTTATCACAATCCAAATTCAAACCCCCACATGATATAAGCATATCGCAAATAAAACATTGATTAATAATAGCTATATATTAACGTACTGAATATCATATAATGTGCAAAGAAACGTATGACTTAGGCTGGCACTTAGCCATGTGGAAAAGGAGAACGTTCAATTATAATTATTGGAACGATGCTATTGTATGTAAACCACTAATTTAAATACGTAGAAAGATAACAAAAAGGGGATGTCCACGTCTATCCGAGTCATTCATCTATTTTTATTAGTTACATAAACTCAACATATAACGTGATATTTTTTCGCTTTCTTTAGTTTAAAATTTAGTCTAATATTTAAAACTTAGTGATTAGCTCATCAGATCTATAATTGGATGGGGAAAATTAGATTAATATCTTGATAGGAGCTAGGTATCCGTTTTAATACAATCTTCACACTCTACTTATAAAAAACTAGTATTAGCATGTTGGGTTTAATCTAGGAAGTTATCGGGAAAGTAAACTAATCAGCTTCGGTGCGTCAAATCGATTCATCGATGATGATGTACTATACAATTTGTATTATTATTAATAGACCATGCCCGACAAAAAACGACGATGTTCGAGTTAGTGGACCGGTCTTGTATTAGTGATTTTTCTATTACAGTTTAGTTACTATAATCGGTAAACATGTTTTGCTGGATATATATACTATATAGTATATGAACATTAATAATCTGGGGAAGATACCTATCAATATGAGATGTATCGGTTCAATAAAAATGTGTTCCGAATCCTAGAAAAGATTATTGTGATTTCTTTCATATTTATTATTCAAAACCTGTAACATATTAACTAGAGTTATCTTTTAAAAAATGACATACTAAATACTATTGTTGTGTTCTCTAATAAAAGTACTGATTCAAGAAATTAATAGTTCTGTATGAACCACTTACTACGTTGATGTTATTTTTTTTGCTTTTTACTGTAAGGGTGTGAAGTTATTAGTAACATCTTGAATATAATGATTTAAGAATTTATTAGTTTTAGAAAGTAAAAACTATTGTCAAACTATAATCTTGCATAATATTGGGTTAGTCACTCTATTGGGCTTCATGAGGCTATTAGCAGAGTAAATATGATAAACCCCGAAAACAAATAGGCCCTATCATAACAGGCAAATAGTTTTTGTAACCCAAACATCGACATTGATCAAAAGAAACAGTCATAAGTCCGAAATCCTTGTTTTCACTTTCTTTTTCTTATTTTTGGGGCCAACCCTTGTTTTTTACTTCTTATGCAAAAATCCTAGGAAAACTTTAGAGCATCTTAGAGAAATTCATAACAGAGAAAGAAAAAGTTCCAACACCGAAGATAAATCAGAAGGAAATTGAAACAACAACATTGCTCATGCGCCGCGCAAGCAAGCTCGGCAGGAAGATTATGACTTCAAGGCTTCATGTGTGCGAAACCTTGAGGCAGAGTAAAAAGTGGATAGTCTCCTTCGTCTCCTACTGTGAGACCTTGGAATGCCATTGCCAAAGCATATCCAAGTGCCTTCGCTACTGGAACTGCAACCGCGTTACCAACTTGAATGTACCTGAAAACAAACCAAATATTTATTTATATGTAGTCTGAATTTTATAAATCTTGAAAACTCTCTTCTCTGAGCATAAATCAAATCAAAACTGAAGGATTCACGATTACTCACTTTTGTTTTGTTGGACCAAAGAGTTTGTAGTCATCAGGAAAGCCCTGGAGTCTTGCATTTTCACGAATGGATAGTACACGATCTTGCTGCGGATGAATGATTACCTGCCAAATCATCAACAACATTCAAAACTCTTTTTAAGTTGATCCAAATAACTCTATGCAAATCTAGAACACTAGAATAACTCTCCCTCTGTTACATTATCTAAACTAACTTACAACTAGGCAAAAATTCAGAAATTCACCTGGTTATGCGGTTCCGCTCGAGTGACAACAGTAGGGACTGTCTCATCCCACCAGAGGCGTCCAAAGGGCCTGAGGAAAAACAAATGGTTTTGGTCATTTCAATAACATTAGGCCAATTCATAATTTACAGAATATAAAAAAGGGAAATGAGAATCACTTGGTTGATGTCCCATCAACAAAATTCACAGCATAATAGGGCACCTGTATGAAGAACACCGTTAGTAGATTGAGGAGAAAAGCAAAATTAGCAGTCAATGAAGATAAAAAAAGATTAATATCAGGATCCAATTATAGAGATGATTATTATTACCAATGATTTTCCAGATTCAAGGTAGACGCTTCGACTCTCATCCATGTGAACTACATTACCGGGTCCAACAACTACACCAGGAAAGTCTCTGAAATTTGCTCCCTAATACCAAAAGTTGTATTCAAAATTATCAGAATAATTCTAGAAACTAAATCAAACAAGAACCACAAAATCATATTATCAATGAATGTGGGAAGATTGTACCTTCCTCTTGGGGACACTACAAACTCGTTGATAATCATCTTTATTCAGATTCAGGGGATGGTGATCATACAAGACTGGCTTTTTGGACTTTGAATTTTTTGATGAACCTAACTTTTCTGTTGAAAAAGTCCATAAACAATTTGTTAAAAGATCCCTCAAGTTGCCATAATGGTTGTCAAATCTATGTTTTTACATCGTTTCCCAAAATAAAAAAAAAGTTAGAAACTTACCATCTTTCCTTAATCTGATGAATTGTTGAAATGGTGTTTCAGGATTTTTGTCATATGGAATCTCGTCTCTCACTTCGCTGTTTGCAATCTAAACTCAAGGTATTATTTAGTAAGACGAGAATATGCACGACAAGCTAGCTAAGTTTTAGTCAAGATAAGCCACCAAAGACTTACAGCTGGAAGATCAGAAATCACGTCTTTAAGTAAAAGCTTGTCTTCCAACTTCACAGTGTGTCCTACATTATAGGCTACTGTGTTTCCCTGGCATTAAATATAAGCAAATATGAGATTTTGCTAGACATATGGAATAGATATATACAGTCTTAAGTCTATTACCTCAAACTCCACAGGAACATTTCCTCTCACGACTACATCATGAGTTGGAAGTGGGAACTGAGGAAGCGTCTGAAACAGAAAGATACAAATTAAGAACATCTTCTATTCATTAATACAAAAAACCAAGAACTAACACTAAAATTTTTACCTCGCTAGAGAGTGCGCCACATAAGAAGAACCGCATGCGGAACTGAGCAAGACCATATGCACCTGCAGCCATCATTCCCATCCGACTTTGGTAATTCATTTGGATTAGCCGTCCAACAGCGTATCGTGCAAGATAGCCCTTAGCAAACTTAAGCATGTCTACCACATTCTCCATTAAGACGTATTTTGGCTTCAAAAACTCCACAATGTTCATATAAACAAGAAGCTGCTTATTTTTCTCATCATCTAGAGGCTCTTCTGAGTTCCTGAAGCGATTATGACCACTGATTCCTTGGCAGGGCGGTCCACCGCAAATAACATCAACACCTCCCTAAATTAGTGTTTCGGTAAAAGTGTCAGTGACAACCACATTGTAAGACTCTTATATTTCACCACTGTCACCTAGTCACTTATTCCAGGATAGTGCTTTAATCCTCAACTATTCAATTACCAACTCAGCAACTAGCAACTAAATTACGCAAAACAACATAATATTGACCCTTGTTAGTTCTTGAACTACCAAACACAAACTAATATAAGTAAATTATCTATATACATAAGACACATAAAGCTTAGCACATACAAAAACAACTTTGCACTGGCTTCAGAAATTTAGGAAAGCAAAAGAAGTAGAATTTAAAATTTTCCTACTTGTAATGGAAGGATACCAGCTTTATATCCACGTTTGACAAACTCTTTGATTTTCTCCCGGCAATTACTGTTTACAGATAAGTTTACAAACTTTACTATTGACATTTATTATTTTAAGGAAAGACTCTTTATCTTATGCTTACCTGAGTCCTTCAATAGGCTCCCAAGTATCATCCGAAGGCTTGTAACCCTGCCACCGTACCTATAATATCAAAACATCAAAAGATTGTGACTATAACAAGACAAAACCATAAAATATATAGTGAAATTTGTACAAACAGGCAACAATACCTTCAAATAAAGTCCACGTTCCTTTATCTTCTTAGGATCCCCGAAGGAAATACCAACAATCTTTTCCACTGTAAAAACCTCCCCATTATCTTCGTTGTCACTCTCCTTGCCCTCATCTTCATTGTCACTCTCCTTGCTCTCATCTTCATTGTCCTCAACATTACTCATCCCATAAAGGTTGTTATATTCTTCTGAATTTGGACATGTTCTCAAAGAGAAATGAATGCATAGCTTCAACCACTCCTTAAGCAGCAACAGGAAATCTTCTGCGGACATGTTTCTTACCTAAGAAGAAGTGACTATTTGAGGATTTCTGTAGTCAATCTAAATCAAATTGGGAAAAAGGAAAACACAAAGAAATACTGAGAATCTTACTTGTGTTTCTGGGTGGTTATGCTCCAAACTTTTACATGCATGCGGATTCATGTCAACAGCCCATTTCTTGAGAAATAATTTTTTAAAGGAAAATATAAGCATTAAAAAGAGTAAACAAATCGGAGAAGCTATTAAAACATTATAATTAGCAAGTAAAAAAGCCTCACAGTGACAAGGTTCAAACCAGCAAGCTGTGCACCCATGCACAACCCAGTGGACATTGCTCCGCAACCACAGTAAAGGTCAAGCATTGTTGCCTCTCTTTTAGATCCAGTAGCTTGAGAAGCTTCTTCATCCCCGGATATAACAGCAGCTCTTTCATTTACTTCAGTATCGCTGGATATTGTTGAACTTTCACTTATAGCCATCTTGTTATCTGCACAGTTGAAAGATATATATATAGATGCTTAGTTATCTTCAAAAACTGCAGCATGTTATCTAATCTAGTTAGCGGTGGAAAGAAATGCTAACTTGAAAGATATATTGTTAAATGCATTAACCTTGTTGTAAAGCTTCAAATGTAGAGTAAGGCAACAGATAGTTCATATCACAAAAGTAGTCACAGCTTTTTGTCGCATCGATAGTCTCAGTATTTTCCTGTGTGAAACAAAAGTAAGTTAGTATCAATGGAAGACTGCACTAAGATGTAGTATTACCAAAAACAGACATTACAAATAAAGCTGTATAAATGAAACAAGAACGTACATTTAAGGGAATCATCAAAATTTTGAGCCTCTTAAGTAGAGTGCCTAATTCATTTGTATTTCGATCCTTCGAGAAAAACACACGTTTTTCATTAATTAGAGCACTGTGCATACCAATTACCTGAAAGTTGAGAAAACGCCAAAACTTAAGACAATTCAACATAGAGAGAAGAAAAGGTAAAGAAGAATAAACTTTTGATTCTTACAGTATCAGAAGCTCTATAGAACCATTGAGCCGTAAAGTATAATTTTCCATCAGCCCCTTCGAACATTTCAACAATTTTACAAATGAAAGGTGCTTTCCCTTCACCAGCCTGAGCAACAACAAAAAAAAACTTAATTGTGAGAAAATCAAGTTATATCAATTATCTGAAGAAATAGGAATCATGACAAACAGAGACAATACAACTGAAATAACTTGATTTTCTTATAATTAATCCCTGCACATCCATTTTTCTTTTAAAAAATTAACAATGCTGGCACATTAAAAAGTGATAAATCATCAAACTGAAATACCAAGAAACAAAATGTCTTTTACATTCCAAGTTCCACAGATAAATTATCTATCAGAAATATTGAATACAGTAGACGTAACAGAGTCATACCTCCACATAAGCATCATCATTAAGCTCATATGTCTGACACTCATCAACAATCGCACGTCTAAAATGGCAACGTGCCCGTATGATCTCCTCTTCTTCATCATCATCGTCAGTCCTACAAAATGAAATCACTTAATCAGTCGTTTAAGAAACAGAAATCGCATTAAGGCGCTAAAGGCAAAGGACTCAACAACTTACTTCTTCTTTCTCTTTGCCGGAGGTTTAGGTTTCTTCACCTGAGAATACAAAAAACAAGAACAAAAGCAAAATTCCTTCAGAAATCAACAGATCTGCAACAAATCTCTCTCAATTTCAAACAAATCTAACCATTTCATACATATCCCATTTTCAAACACCCCAAGATTTCAGTTTCGGATAAGTGAAATACCTCGATTGGTTTGTATCTATCAGGCCAGGTAGTCTTCGCCTCCAATTCTGGTATAGGCTCGTCCAAGAACCTCGCAATCGTACTATCCTCTTCCTCTACAACTGGAACCGGCTCTTCTTTCACCGTCTTAGCTCGCTTTGGAGAACTCTTCCTTGGTTTCGGAGCGAAATTGGTATCGCCGTCCTTCGCCGAAGCTCTCTTACGCTTCGGCGCCATGATTAGAGTCGGAGAAGACGAAGCGAGCTTAACCAGAGTAAAGAAAGAGATGAGTGAAACCCTAGAAAAATCGTGTGACGAGTGAGTGGACTAAATAATATCTGAGTAGTTTGAGTGGCGAAATAAGCGCGTCACTCAAGCGCCAAACCAAAGTTTTGGCGTTTCGAATTTTTTTGGGAATTTTGTTTTTATATTATTATTTTTTAATGAATTTGAAAATTTTGGGCCTAATAAAATGTTAAAGGCCCATATCTTGATTACAGAGTCAGAAATGTTGAGCCGTAGAGAATATTTATTTTCCTTATCGATCTATGATTTATAATAATGAATATGGTTTAAGTTGAATTCGTTTAGTGATCTGATCAGTTTCGTATCTATATATTTCCAGAAATAAACATTTTATTAATATTTACAGTCTCTACATGGATCGGATGAAAATGATGATATTACCACACAAATCTAAAGTTTATTAGAAAAATGATTATGTCTTTCCATAATGATTTTTAGTTTTGAATTTAGTGAGCAAAGAAATTTTGTATATATGTTTCCATATATAAATATATCAACACAATCGTATCTGATCTTTCCATGATTCTTTTATTCAATTAATTAATCCTACCAAAATTAAAGACTATAGTGGATTAGTGATTCCGCGAACGGCGTAGGGTTGGATTTAGTGTGTAGTTAAGATTTGAGGAGGTCGTTTTGGAGTTAATCAACACGTTCCAATAAACTTGGAAACAACTAAGCAAAAAACAGAAACGTGGAACGTTGAATGGTAACACATGAAGGAAAAGAGAAAATGCCTACTGAGAGTAATGGAGTAGTGACATTTTTTTGCAGATAACTTCTTGACCTTCCCACTTCACTCATGCTTGTCATACGTTACTACTAGACCAAAAAATTACTCATATTGAATCATGTATATCCACCACTTTAAGTTCATATTTAGCCAATGGTTCTCTTGGTCTCTCATATTATGGACTTATGTATAATTGTGTATGTATCAATGTATGTATATGACTTACTGAAAAGGTTGGATTGAGTAAATTGAAAGCATAATAACGATGAGGGAAGCATATGAATAATATAGATGTCGATATAAGAATTGTGCATTCCTCTTTTTGTCGTGATGGCTGAAATTAGCCAACTTTTTATTTGGGCCTTATTTCTTGTCTTTGGGTCCACTATGTCTTTTTTGCTTTATTTATATGTTTGTGTTATGCAACATAAATATATTTAAAATTATACACGTATATTTAATTTTCTTTTAAAATATGTAATAGAAGGATTGGATTTAAAAATGTAGCAATTATTTGTTTGTCAAATAAAGTAAAGAAGAAACCCTTTATAACTTGGTCATTAATCTATATATTTGATGAGATGTTTTTTCGAATTATATAATTAAGTTGAATTATAAAAAAAAACATCACGATGATATGAACATCACACACGCACACGTAATTGACGTATATATAAATGTTACGTAAGTGTCATGTATACAGTATTAACACTGTGCAGTTAAGTTCGATACGAGTGGCTGACATGGGCGGAGGGACATATTGTGACTACTTGAAAACTACGTTGTTGGATTTTCCTAAATTTGATGTTGAAGTTTTGGGCCATTTTATACAATTTCATATGGATAGACACTAATCGAAACATATGCTTTGATATTGTCTTGAAAAAGATACTCCTAATATAGGTGCTCATTTACCCCCCAAAAACAAAAATGACTCTACAAGTTTTCCAAATTTCTTGCAACTTGTGCGAGACTAGCCTTTTCACATTAATCACATATCATATCATACGCTATACTATGTTTTTTTTTTTTCACTTCTTGATGATAAGTGTGCATATATGGCATACGTCTAGTCAGAATCTTGTGAAGAATATATATATGCATCATATAACAGTAAACAACAATATATCATATATATGTATAAATCTTATAGCGTCGTCTCAGTTTCCGCAAGACGATTTTGTAACATACTAACATCATATATATTATATATACACTCATGGATTGAGGTCGAGAGCGACACGAAGCGATGTGTGCATGTCATGGGTTAAACAGAGACGGATAAGTACTCTGAAAAAGTAATGAATAGGAAGTCTAATCGAAAGTGAAAATGAACGTAAAATGTCAAGATATAACCACGTGGTTGATAACCATGTTTTGAGAAAACATCATCAATGAATTGATCGAATATGATATATGGATGAATACGGCACAAGGGATGTTTGGGAGAAGCTAAGAAAAATAAGAAGAAAGATATTGATTATGAAAAGGAATGGAATAGGAAAGGAGGGAGAGACAAGATAGAACAGCTCTTATGTGGGGTTTATCAAACAGTAGTTTAGTTTGGTTTCTTCCTTAACCTAAATACCCCACGCACCATCTTTATACGTCTGTCTGTACATGCATGCATACACACACGCACATATGTATTCATGTGTACATAAACCCATATATAACCTATATAACACACGTCTGCTATATAATTTGGATTATTTTATTTTGCATATCATTTCGGTTTCGATCGCTTACATCATTATATTTTATATTAACTCTGATACATTTTAAACAAAAAATGCATCACTTCCGATTTATATGTATGGACTATTTCTATTAGCTAATGGTGTAACATGTTGTGATTCCTCAATTAGTAATATACTCTACATATAATTAGCATTACCAGTAATCAATATTGATTTTGATTTTTCTGTTTCGTTTTGGTATCTGTCTTGCTATATTGATGATAGGTTAGGTTATACAGCTCCATAGGTTTGAGATCAGATGTGACATACCATGATTTCATAGACAAGATCTAGAATATTTCAAATTAAATACATATTACGAGTCTATTGACCATGTATATATATGTAGAATCCATATCGTAAGCTATTTCCAGTTTTAGTATTGGTTAATTAAACCGTTTCTTGGTTTGTTTTGAATATAATACTGGATTTACTTTTCCATTCTATATCGAACGAATTCAATTTAGTTTTGGATCAATAAAAGTTTGGATTTATTAAACTTTGGTACAATGAACTTTTAACAAAAACTAGGGAAGTTCATACACTATAGTAGATTTTTTATACATTTTCAGAGATATATTTTTTAGCAGTAGCCTAGCTATAGAGAGATTAAACATGTTTTTGTATCTTCAAAACTGAACTATTAAACAAAGGTTCTCAATAAAGATGGTACGAGACAAGGTATGATGGTGTAGAGTGGCTATAATATTATTATTTTTTTATGAATATTTTGATATTATACTGAGTTCTGACTGTTCTGTATAATTTCATACGAGATAATGTATGATGGTGTAGAGTACATATATTGATTGAAAGAAATTAATACCATTTGCACATCAACAACAAGAAATGAAAGATATTAATACCATACTCTACTTGGGAGTTGGGACTAAATATTTCATTCTTTCTTTAAGATCAAAGGAATCAAAACTAGCATCATAGAACATCTGAAATCAATAATTATCACTTCTCTCTTCTTCAAAAAAACAAAAGAAATACTAAGTATTTTCTTGTTTCATGAACAGTCATATATGGTTCTACAGGTCTAGGTCCATCCATGTAGACTCAACACGATTATTTGATGGGTCTATACTCTCTATACGTACTAGGCTACTCAGTGTGTAAATACTAAATAGGATCAACATTGGACCCATTCACTATCCACCTTACCTACCTCGATATCACTACATGATACTAGGAAATTGATTTACATTCAATACTAGTATGAAATGGCTTTAGTTGGCTACTTATACAAATTAAGTTATTTGAAAATAAATTTGGAGTATAAAAGTAGAGAAAGAGGCACAACTTTGATTTAAGATGAGCATTGGACCCATTTCATTTGGTTTACCAAAAAAAAAAAGGACAAATCTAATTTAAAAGAAAAAAAAAAGATGATAGATTAGATAAAAGATTAAAGGACAAGAGTATGATGAGTGGGAGAGAACACCTCTCTGCATGTCTCTCCCAAGGGGAAAAAAGAAAGAGTCCTTTCCTCTCTTATTACCTTTTTGATTCTCTCATCTCTTCATTTTCCAAATTGTACGCAAAGCTCAATCCCTTTTACAATTTCTTTCATCTTTTTCATCATCAAAGATTATATTATATGTGAATTTGATATGAATTGGTAGCAACACAAAACAAGTTTGTTCTATCTCTTGAAGGTTTTAATTTTGTGCAACTCAAAATAGATATTATCACTACAAGAAAACATGCCAATTTCCGACGACGATATTAGTCGGAATTTTGTCGGAAATGACATATTCCGACGAATTTTCGACAAAATCAAATTCGTCGGAAATCTTTGGTCGGAAATTAATATTCGTCGGAAATTGGTCGGAAATTACTGACGAAAAATTATCGTCGAAAATTTGTCGGAAATATTTGTCGGAATTTTGTAGGAAAATTTCCTACCAATTTCCGACGAAATTTCTCGGTGGTCGGAAATTCGTCGGAAATTTCTGATCATTTTTATAAATAAATTAAATTAATTTTTAAAACTATTTCCGACGAATTTCCGACAACTATTTTTATTATTTAAAATATATATATATATATATATCAAGAGTATTAAAATGAAATTAAAATCAAAATAAAAATGAAATGAAAATTAAAGTAAAATTTAATACTTAAAATAATAATTATTCATTGTATTAAAAACATACATATATAAAATTTTAAAAATGAATTACTAAATACAAATATGAAAATTATGAATTAAAAATATAAGTGAAAATGTAAACTTTTAAAAATGGATAATGATTCTAAAAATTGAGAGAAGAAGATGAGGAGAAGAAGATGAAATGAGAAATTGATTATGTTGTATTTTGAATTGTGAAATGGGTGAATACTCTTTTGTATATATAGCAAATATTTCCGACGAATGTTTCGGTCGGAAATTTGTCGGAAACTACAAAAGCGGTAAACTCAATTATTTTGAATTCGTAAACGCGGGAACATACGAAAAATATTCCGACAAATTTCCGCCGACCATATAATTTCCGACGAATTTCCGACGACCGTTGAATT